GCCAGGAGGTAGGTGCTCTGGAGACCCTGGCACTGGGGACTGGTTGAGGTGGGGAGTAGGCAGGTGTTCACCAATCCCACTCCCAGCCTCCCCTGTAGTGGGATCAGGGCCGTGTACCTGGGTTCTGGTCAATAGTGTGAGGAAAAGGGACTGCAGAAGGCACCACAGTGCCCCCAACCCTGGAACCTGTGAACACACCAGGTTACACACCAGGGGGAATGAGGTGTAGATAGAATTAAGGTTGCTAATCATCTGACTTTAAAATAAAGAGATTATTCTGGATTATCCAGATGGGCCCATGTAATCTCAAGGGTCTTTAAATGTGAAAGAGGGAGGCAGGAGAGTCAGAGTCCAAGTGTGCAATGTGAGAAGGACATGAGAAGGAAGTGATCAGACACTGCTATCTTTGGAGATGGAGGAAGTGACCACAAACCAAGGAATGTGGGCAGCCTCTAGTCGCTGGAAAAGGCAAGAGAGTGGATTTTCCCCTAGAGCCTCCAGAAGGAACCAGCCCTGCCAACGCCTTGATTTTAGCCCAGTGAGACCCATTCTGGACTTCTTACCTCCAGAACTATGAGATAATAAAATTGCATTGTCTTAAGCCATTAAGCTTATTGTAATTTGCTGCAGCAGCCATAGGAAACTAATGGTAATGCATGCCACTCACAGGCTGCACCACCAAGTCCCTGGCACCATGACCTACATTTTGTCCCCTGTGCAGCAGCCATGCCTTGAAATGGCAGTGTGACACAGGAGGGGTCTGGCCTTCTGAATTGTTCCTTATAGGGCCACCTAGGAGAGAAACAGACCTTGATCTGTTTAGCCACTGAGACTTTGGGCTGTCTGTTACAAGTACCACTCTGTAACTAATCTCGTACTTTATACAAAAGTGAATATTTCCTATGTAAACAAAAAAGATTTCTGAAGTTGTGAAGGGGACGGCATTCACAAAGGGACACCTAAGACGCTAGAAGGAGTAGATCACCAAAGGTGGCTAGAGAACAGAGGTGAAATCTACAACTGTCTCATAAAAGCCACAAACCACCACAATGAGAAGTTTCTGAAGAAAATGCAGTCACCAAAGGGTCTTTTTTCCTTATGTTGGGAGCAAAAGCAGACCTTTCACTTGTACCCTTCAATCGCCAGTCATGGACTAGCTGACGCTGGGATTATGCTCAGCAAATCTATAACTATAATTAATACAAAAAAAGACAACTTAGTCTTCTGTCTCTAGCAACAGAACAGCCTAGATAATCTGAAAACTTTCCTGTATGAAGATAACAAAGAGAGAATTATCACCCACAATCTTTGAAATACATCTTTAACTCCTGTCTGACTGATTGATCAATTAATATAACAGAGAACTGAATTACTTCAAAGTTGCTAAAAAAAAAAGCAACATGGTCTATTTCCCATTTTACTTTCAATAAGTACAATTGTGTTTATATTTCCATTTGATTCCATTCTAGAGGGGATGTAAAGTCTACTTTTTAAAGAAAATTGTATGTGAAATTAGTAATATTCAAAGTGATCACCTATCAGATTTATGATAACTTGACTGACATATGGATTTTGCTCCCCTGGGAAACAGAGGGAAACAGGGCCAACAAAATGTATTTAACAAAGAGATTTTACCCACATTATTGCCACAATCTCGTGAAGACAGGCAGAAATGAGTAATAGCCTGGCTTATAATTATGTCCTCCTTTCTGCTGTGGAATGCTATTACTGCTGTTAGATGAAACAGAAAGAATCTCGCTAATTCTAACTTAGCTAATCTGTATTTGCAATAACTCTCATAAAACACGCAGTCTCACCCCATTTCTCTGCAAATATTTTGTAGTCAAGAGCAGTGGTGAGGTCTCAAACCATTAAGACTGGATCACTTTTACAGAGGATCGCAGACGACAGCACATTTGCCATGACAGGATGCAGCGCCATCCATCACTCATAAATAACAATATTTTGTATTTGCATAGCACCTTTCTTCACGCTCTCCAGAAGCCTTTACAAACTGCTTCATTAATCTCACACCTTGGGAGGAGGGACCTGACAAGTGATGGAGTCCTCTGTCAGGCTGCTGAGTTCCAAAGGCTGCAGGTTCCAAAAGGCAAAGAAAGGCCTTTCCAGCCCCTTCCCCTGGGTTCCTGGCTCAGAGGAGTTGGCAACAGATGCTCCAAAGGGTTCAAATGGTTTTTAAAATAGGACTGTCCTCGGTATTCCACTGATAAGGTGACTGCCTTAATGTTAAAAGTGCCAAGTGCTTAGAACTGTGCTGGCATACTGTAACACTCAAGATACTTCAGTTGCTGTAGCATCTCCACTCTGTCCTCCCAGAACTGGCTGAGACCACCTGCACCACTAGTGCACACTGGGAAGACCCCAGAGACGGGGAGGGCGCAGGCCTGCCATGTGTGGGGGAAATGAGAGGTGGGAGGAGGCCCTGGTGGGAAACTCACTCGTGGTGAGCTGCTTACTGAGGACTTCGTGCCAGGCACTGTGCCCGGCCCTAGGGATAAAGAATCAATAAGACCCAGCCCTGGAAGCAAAAGGAGAGGCGACAGGTGGAGGTAAGTGCCATAAGGAGCTCGGGAGTATCAGGGGAACATGCAGGAGGGGATGTGGTCCAGACAGCAATAAAGAGAAAACACAAAAGAATATTAAGATAGTCAGCGTAAGAGAATTTTATTATTTCCGATTGAGGATTTAAGCACAAGCCTGTTATTCAATTTAAGCACTTAATGAAAGTGTTCTCAATGTTTTTAAGGCAGTTATTTTGATTTATGAATGATGCTCTTGGCTATCCTTGATGATTATCTTTTATTATAGTGGGTTGCCTTGTTTTTTTTTTCTTTTCTTTTAACATCTACTCTGTAGAACTGCTTACTCTCTGGCAATATCAGACTAAACAAGTGAGCTTCCTGCCAAAAAAGGCTTTCACACAGGGTCCTCTGTAACACAGGGGGGGAAGCGCATCTGAGGGGTGCTGCTGAGTGGTGCCTCTAACTCTGGCCAAGTCTGACTGGCCTTGGAACATGCTGGAAGCAATGACAGCCTCCCTATGGAGCTCTTGCTAGTTTCAGGGTCCCAAAGACTCAAGTTGCTGCCCTGAAGTCACTTAAGTTTACCTGTAGGATTAACTGCCCTGGAGGCTCTGATCCTGGAGAGGAAAGATGGAAGCAAGGCAGCTCTAGCACATCTGGCCCAAACCTCAAATTTCAAAAACAAGGAAAAGTGAGCCCTAGAGTAGTGTGAAGTGATGCCTCAAAACTTAGAACCCAAGTTCACTGCTACACCAGCACAAATGACTTGCCTCTTCTGGCCTTAGGCATGAATAAGCCATTTAATTTGTAATTCACAAAGCCTAGCTGTTTACTTTACAATTCAAAGAAAATCAGAGTCCAGCCAGAAATTTGTCCCAGGGGGTTAATATGTACAGTTTATACCTCTGATGTTAAAAATCTCCATATGGATATATCACTACATGCAATTTAATTACTGTACTTTGATTTGATGTCATTCCAACAGATACACTTTAATGCAACTCCTGTTCCCCAGGGGATGGAGAGCTAGGACAGGCTGCTGCTGCGTGGTCCTGGAGACAGGCCTGCAGTGAGTACAAATAAAGGTGTTGTCTCCACCCTAGGGTGGGCAGGGCCTGGCTGAGTAGAATCAAAGATCAGTGTCATCCTTAAAGGAAGTCCCTTTAAGGTACTTTGTTTTTTAACCAATGCAACACAAAAGTCCCCAAAGCCTAATTTTCCTTATAGTAGAACAATTTTCCTAAAACCCCATGCCTCTTAAGGACTCTGGCATCAACTAGCCATGTTTTTTCCCCTGTTGCCAATTAGTTTGGTTGTTGAAAGCCTCCATCACCAATGAAAAATACTGGCGATTCAGGAATGCAACTGTATTTAAAGAACTGCTCCTATTCACTGTGCTGAGGCAGAGAATTTGCCCCCTGCAGATGGAGATAATGGGACTCTTCCCTGCAACAAGAAGATGGCACAAATGTGCCACACAAAGCAGCCACGTTTCTCTAAGGTCTCTGTTACTAAAAGACAGAGTTAATACACTAACGTGAGCAGCAAAGACCAAAGAACCCCACACATCCAGGTAACTTGGTCTCTGGCACCCAAGGCCTCTGAGCTTCTCACCAGGACCCTTCCATATGGATCCAGCGTCACAGGGAAGGAGAACACAAGTGGAAATCGTGGTCCCGTCTGGGCAGAGTCCAAAGTGCAAACGGGGACTGAGCCCAGGGAGGGGGAGGCGGCGGAAAAACATAAAGGCTGCTTGGATTCCCGTTCTCAGAGAGATGGTTCTTTCCTAGATTTAACTTCCTTGCCGCAGAAGTTTAGGATTTGCTTAAGAAACGAAGAAGCACGTCTAAGAAACATCTGGATGCTAAGGGAACCGGGGGTAGAAAGAAAGAAGTCATACTGAGTGATGCATGATAAAAATTACTTTTCCGCTCCTTTGGTTCCTCTGCCAGTATGAAATGCTGCCGGCCTATAATTGATCATCACCGCGATATTAAGCACACCGGCTTTTAACTGTTTCTGTTACTTTTTTAAAGACTTGCACATTCTCACTGAGTATGAACCGCCAAAAGTTGTTTTTAAAAAAGTTGTGCAACAGGGCGGGCTTCCCCGAGTGCCCGTAACCCGCACGCAGCTCCCAGCCGCACGCCGCGCCCCGCACTCGGGACGCAGGCGCGGCCTCCCGCGCGGGACGGGACGGAGCCGACCCCCAGCCCGGCGGGCGGGCGCGACCGGGCAGCCGCGGCTCCCGTGCGGTGACGTGGCGGGTCCCGCAGGGGTCGCGGCAGACCGAGCGCTTGCGGGACCGAGGCGGCCCCTGCGCGCCGCCGTCAGGGCACCAGGACCCCGTCCCGGGCCCCCCCGCGGAGCCCCGCCCGGCGCCCCAGCCCCCGCGGCCGCGGGTTCGAGCCCGCCCTCGGCCCCGCGCGAAGACAGAAAGTGCGAACGAGTCAGTACCGGCCGGCAGGTGTCCAGCTCTCGTCTCCACTTTCTCTTTGGGAGGCGAAGACATGGTGCGTCTGGGCTCGGAGGGACCGGGACGCGGCGGCACGGCTCTCGGGCCCGGCGGGAGTGCGCGTGCGAGCGCGCGTGTGAGCGCCGGGGAGGGTGCGAGCGAGCGGCGCGCGCGCGCGCGTGTGTGTGTGTAGAGCGCCGGGGCCGCGCAGGTCGATGAGCCGCCGCCGTCGCTGGGGAAGGGGGCGTAGCCGCCGCGCGCCAACGTGGCGCGGCCCGGCCCACCAGCGGCGTGCGCGTGACGTCACTGCTGCCCGCCCGCCCCGTCGGACTCGCGAGTCCCGGGAACGGAGCATGCGCAGTCGGCAGCGCCACGTAGAGTCTGTGGCGGAGGTCGGAGACAGGGGACAAGAACGAGGGCTGGCAGCTTGGGGTTAGAAGAGGCGGGGTCCGGGCAGGCAGTGGGCATGGGGAGGCGTAGGAGGTTAGAAGGGGCCCAGCATGAGATTGGCTCATGCCCGGAACGCGCTCAGCCGAGCCCCCCGTCAGACGGTGACGGCGGTGCGGGGTGGCGGGGTGTCGGCGGGAAGGGGCCGCCTGCTGAGTGTCCTCGCCTCTGTCACCCTGCCGCGCCCGAGGAAGTGCGGAAACGAGGCCGCAGAGGGCAGCGAGCCGCGCCCCAGGAGAGCAGGGCTTTGCGAAACAGTGCTGAGGGCAGCGCTGGGAACCCCGGCCCGAGTTCCGGGACGGTGGCTTCAGTGCCCGTGCTCTCCGCCGGCGTCGTCCTGTGGCGGTGACACTTGACTCCAAAGCCCGCGTGGCTCTTGTGCTCCGCGTCGCCCCCTCTCGCCCTCCCCGGCGCTCTGCAGCGGCAGTCGTCAGTCGCCCCTTGGCGGATTAGCGTTCAGAAATGCCCAATATGGTGTCTTCAGAAGAGGAAACACCACCACCTCTATAGTCGATACTCCTGCCTTTGACATCAAAACTGTTCAGAGAAGTTGGGCACCTCGCCCCTTCTCACTCCTTTATCTGGTTTTCAAGTCCTTTTGGTGAGGTCACTTGTGACCTTCTGGGTGCCAAATCGAGTGGTCATTCTTCTACTTGACCTCTGAGCGGCATTTAATACAACTGGCCATTCTTCTCCCCCTTAGCTTTGGAGATGCCACATCACTGCCCTGCCGTCCAGGTCTTGGGCCACCCTGGCAGCTCACTCAGTTGGCCTGGCTGGCCCCTCTGCCTCTAGATTTCTAAACATTTCAGTATCCCAAGGCTCAGCATTGGCCCTCTTCTCCATCCAGACTTTCCTTAGATGCTCACATGCAGCCCGGTGCAGATGACTATCTTCCTTATGGCTATGGATGCCAAATCTCAAACCCATTTTTCTATCTCTGCCACTCCCCTGAACTACAGCTTCACATCCCACCACCTCCTTGTCTTCTCCACCTTGATGTCTAAGTCAGTGCTGCCCAACTCTTTGTGCATGGTGGTGCACATAGAAATGCACATACCATATCTTGATCTTGTACTACCTCCCCGCCAACACACACACATTTTAACATCCTAATTGCAGGATAGCTGTTGGCCAGGCAACAGCCATGATATACTTGTCATTCTCTTGCATTCACATCAGAACTTGCGTGTGGGTGCTAACAACATAGAAGAAAATCCTGAAATCAGTAGTGGAGACAAGATCTCACTCTGTCACCCAGGCTAGAGTTCAGTGGCTCATCATAGCTCATTGAAATCTCAAACTCCCTGGCTCAAGCAATCCTGCCTCAGCCTCCAGAGGAGTTGGGACTACAGGTGGATCCCACCATACCTGGCTACTTTTTTTCTATTTTTTGTGGAAATGAGGTCTCTGTCTTGCTCAGGCTGGTTTTGAACTCCTGGCCTCAAGCAATCCTCCTGCCTTTAGCCTCCCAAAGTGCTAGGATTACAGGTGTGAGCCATCATGCCTGGCTAGTAGAGTACTCATTTTAAGAGACACTGCATCACTTACTCTTGATGGAACAGATTGAGAAAAATCTGCAGATAACTGACTTGTATTCTGAATGGAAAGTTTTAAGAATACCTAACCAATTACTTTTATGAATATTTTTCTTTTTGTATATGTGTAAAAGTGCTCCTTGATTAAAAACTCATGTCTTAATAAGTCTAAAAACTATTTCTCAGAAGTAAAAACTGAAAATTTTAGGTTGAAAGAAAACATTGTATCATAATTTAATTGGCACATTTTCCCCCTTACTGGTACATAAAGTTGCATGTTATAAGCAATGGCATCTTAAACTGAATCATACATGGTATTAGCAGGGAACCCTGGGGTTAACAAACAAAAGGAGCCTTCAGAGGAGGGAGCAAAGTTCTCTAGGGGCCCTGGTGGCCCCAAACGCCACTGGGCTGTTCTGAGGCCTTTGCCTGTGACCTGTTCTCCAGCACTACTTTGATTGGGACACTCTGCTGTGATAGCCAAGTAGTAATTTCACATGTTCAAAGCAGAACAACTGATTCACCCACCTACTCATAAATAGCTTCCCATCTAAAATAGAATCCAAGCTACTTGATACAGTGGGAGTAATCTGTCTACTCAATAGCATTCCTACTGAAGGAAATACTGTTATTGAAGAAGGTAATGAAATTAGCTTGAGAAAAAAATACTTCTATTTCAGCCTCCCTTGCAGCTAGGGGTGGTCAAATGACACAGTTCTAACCATTGAAATGTAAGCAGAAGTCTATTAGGGGGATTTCTGGGGAAATTTGGAATCTTAACATGAGGATCACCTTCCTTTTGGTGACTTCACTGTTTGTACCTCTTCGAATTCATATAGAAGGCAGGAAGTAGAACAATCATATTGCAACCATGGGAAAACTAAAGGCATGAAAGCCATATGCTAAAGGAGGCAGATCAGAAAGGTCAAAGGCACATGAGACTTTGAGGGGCCCATGGAGACTCTTCAGAGCTGTGCACTCTTCCTCCAGACTTTTTTGTTGTATGGAAAACAACCCACTATTAGATGAAGTCCCTGTGGTTGCTGTCTTTATGTGTGGCCTCCTGCAACCCCCAGCACATATGGCTTTCCACACCCTGCCTGGCGCAGGTCCTGCCCAACTCTGAGCTCATCTGTCATGGCTCCTCTGGCCATACTGGCTTTGCTGGTGCTCCTCTAGTGGGACAAGCCAGTGCTGTCCCTTGGGCCTTAGCATTAGCCACTCCCGTCACTGGGAACCATCTACTCCAGATCCTTGTATGGTTGACTCTTCATTCTGGAGTCAGCTTTTCAAAGGGCCTACCTTGACCATCAAACCTGAAGAAGCCAGCCCTGGCACATGACTTTGTTTTACTTTTTTCGTAGCACTTCATCCTCATCTGAAATTTCTCATCTATCTGACTGCTTGTTTATTGTCTTTTTCCACTGACTAGAAAGTTATTCCATGAGGGGAGACACCTTGTCCATCTTGTCCACTGCTGTATTTCCAGCACCTATATCCATGGTGGGCAGTAGAGGCACTCAGTAGATATTTTCTACCTATAATTCTGGAACATCTAATTTCTCACAACTGTTACCTAGATGAAGAGTAGCCAATGAGAACTATGCAGAAAATGAAAAAAATATACATAGTATCTAGATAGTACATGGCCATTCATCTTTTCTGACATTTACTTCCACTCATGAGCACTTTGTATGTGCACACATGTGGTGTACACATGTGTGTGTGTGTGTGTGTGTGCATAAATGGCTATGTGTAGCCCCAGTAGTTCTTGATGCTGAGGACAAATGCCAGGCGTCACCCACTGGAAGCTTTCTATGCAGATGTGCATACATAGAAAGATACTTGAACTGTTGAATGAGCAATCTTACTTGAATCTCACAATAATTCCAGGAATAAGGCAGCATAACCCATTTTACCAAGAAAAACAAAAACAAACAAAATGGAGAAGAGAAGGGGACTATGTGGGACACAACTCTGGTGAGTATAAACTAGGGCTCAAAGCTGGATTCTCTAAGCCCCAATCCCATTTCCCCGCACTGTTGGCTGGCTTCTAAATAGAATTTTGGGAGCCATTTCCCCTTCTTCTCTAAATAGGTTGTTTTCTAATCCCAAATGATGCTGAATCAAAGCTGCTACTTAATGTGAATGCTGTGAGTGTTTAAAAAAAGTATCCAAAGAAGAAACAGAAAATGCAGGTTCTCTTCCCCACATAGACGTTTTCTAACCATGCTATATCACTAAACCTTTCTGAGCCTCACATTCCTTATCTGCAATTCAGAGATATGAACGCTTACACCTCGCTCAGGTATGTCATGAGAATTCAGGGCTTTGACTAAACGTGATTACACTTGTACAGCTCTGTGTCACCCCATTTACTTCCCACAGGATCCTGAGACACAGGGAGTTCTTTGCCCATTTTGGTGGAGAAGCTGAACCTGTGCTGGGCTAAGCATAAGGATCGGTAGCTAGCATGGAAGACCCAAGAGAGCCCAGCTCTTGCTACTGTACTGGTTGTACATTTGAAAGTGCTTTGTGAGCCATCATATACTAGAGAATGTACTGTTATTACTGTAAAGGGAGTTTTTTAAAGTCAGCATAGATGAAATACACGAATTGTCCCAGGGCATATTAAAATAACCTCACATATCAATCAGTTCAATAAACATTACTTTCTTATTCCAGGCTGGTTTCTGCTTTCTGTCTGTCTGATGGATGAGAATTTTTATATTCTTATTCACTACTGCTGTGGTTTGAATGTGTCCCCCAAAGTTCATGTGTTTGAAACTTAATCCCCAATGCAATGGTGTTGAGAGGTAAAACCTTTAAGAAGTTATTAGGTCATGAGGGTTCTGTTCTTGTGAATGGATCGATGCTGTTATGGCAGGATTGGCTTAGTTATCGAGGTGTTGTGCTCCTGATCAGAGGATGAGTTCAGTCCTCTTTCCTGTGCTCTCTTGTCCTTCCTCCTCCTGCCATGAGATGATGCAGCTAGAAGACCCTCACCAGACACAGGGCCCTTGAACTTGGGCTTTCCAGCCTTCAGAACTGTAAGAAATAAATCTCCATTCTTTATAAATTACCCAGCCTCAGGTATTCTGTTATAGCAGCACAAAACAGACTAAGACAGTGACACAGACTTGCTCTTCCGTTGTTGATTTTGCTCATAAAAGGAGGGCAGTAGTCATTCTTGACTTTGCTTTGT